GGAAACTATAAACCCTGAGGCTCTAACAACCTGTAGCTTTATGGAATTGTTTTTCCCTCCAATTTTCTAACAACCAAGCCTGAGGGAAAAGAGTCCAGCTAGAGAAATCAGTCAGTCAACAAATACTTATTTACCACCTACTATTTTGTTAGGTACTCTTCTCAATGTTGGGGTCAATGTGGAGAATGAGTTAGATAAAGCAGCTTCCCACTGGGAACTTTCATTCTAGTGGTGGAAGAACACAATAAACACAAACAAGTAAATAAGATAATTTTTGGTAATGACATGTGTGCTATGGAGAAGATGGTATGAAGCATTATGGTAGAAAGTGACTTAGGAGAAAGCTTGTCTGACAATGGGATGTTAGAGTTGAGACCTAAACAATGAGCAGGAGGCAGCCATGAAGCAATTGCAGGGAAGAACATTCCAAGCAGAAGAAACAGTGAGTGCTAAGGTTCTGAATTAGGAACTACCTTTGTGTGTTTAAGGAACAGAAAGAGGGCCTGCGTGGTTGAATGAGAGTGAATGGAGGGAAGTCTAGAAGGAGATGAGGTTGTAAAGGAAAGCAAAGATTTTATTCTCAATGAATAAATCATTAGAGAGTGTTAAGTAGGCAAGTGCTATCACTTGCACTTTAAAATGACCCTCTATCTGCTAATCCAGTGTGGAAGATGCACTCTTTGTTAGGAGGCAAAAGGAAAGGAGACAATGGTGGCCAGGACCAAGACAAGGAAGAAAGAACTAAAGACAGAGTAGATATGGAGCCTGGGATACTTCTATCTGTCATTATGCTGCCACTCTATTATTACCTCCTAGCATGATAGGAATGTATAGGAGTTAAAATTAACATTTGATTTTGAGTCAGATGTGAGTTTAAAATTCTGAACTTGATATCTACAAGTTGTATGACTGTTCCTTTTTCTGTCTGGTAAATTTCCTCCATCTGGTCTCCCAAATCACTAGTTCACTCTTCAGCTAATTCCTCTGCCATAATTATCCCATCTTTTATTTTTCTTTATTTCAACTATTTTTTTATGTTTATTATTTCTAATGGTTTACTTTTTGTTTTCTAGTTTGTTTTCATTTTATCTTCCCTTCTCTCTTAATGTTTTTTCACCTTTTTAACAATTTCTTAATGCCTATATTTTAGTATTTCTCTTCTGCAGGAATCTGTAATCCAGTAGATTATTTCTTTGTTGGCTAGTTTTTGTTTTGTTTTTATGCCTATAGCACCTGGTCTTCCTAGGTGGTTTCCCACCCAAGTACTAACCAGGCTTAGCTGTTTAGCTTCTGAGATCAAACGTCAGGCTTGTTCAGGGTGGCACGGCTGTAGACTATGGACCGTGTCTCCAAAGGGGTGCGAACCCAGGACCTTCTGCATGTAAAGCAGATGTGCTAACCGCTACACTATGGAACCACATTCATGTTGGCTAGTTTTTGAAAAGATTGTGCTCCTCAAATGCCTTTTCATTTTGGCTGGTTCGTTTTCCCCCTGGGGATTACAGCCAGACCTTGGTCTCCAATGGAGCATTATCAGAGGCAAGTGAGCTCAGGAGGGAGGGTGTGGATGAGCCCCCAAGCACATTAAAACCATAGTCAATCACTCTTCATTCTACAAAATAACTTATCCTGTCGAAACTCTACTTTTTACTCCTCAGGAAGAAATAACCTTAGGAAAGCAGTTGCTTTCAAACCCTTGGCGCAAAGGAAAGTAGATGGGTGCAGAAGCAACTGCCCAAGGTCATTTGTTCCCCAGGCTTTTTATTATTGTTATTTCAGCTTCCTATAAACACAGGTCTCCATCTCACCTGATCTTACTCTTCAGGACACAGACCAGAGTCTGACATTTCATAAAAGTAGAACAGTTTGTCCCAAGGAAATAGTAGGAAGAAGCAAAAGCAGAACTACAATGGTCCCTCTTCCCCATTTTATCCTCCCTCAACCACATGCTTGTCCCAGGCCAAACTGGTCATCTGACTGAGGTCGGGGTGCCCAGGAAATGAGCTCTGAGATGGAGATTGGTGAACAGAAGGCTTATTATTGAGTGCTCTGGGATCAACACCTGTGGAAAGGAAAGAAAGGCAACAAATGGGAAAAAAGAAAAGTATTATTATGCAATACCACAAAGACTACAGCCCCCCCCCCCGCCGCCCCAGGGAGCTCTGAGTTGAGATGGTCCTTCAAAGTCGTTCTGAGATAAAGCAAGCATGCCAGGCCTTTGTATACCCACACATTGACCAACCACCGAATTTGATCTGCCCCAGGAAGTGGGCATAACCTTTGGCAAAGAGTCTCCTCTTCACCAAAACCTGTTCCAGAGAAGGCTCACAGCTGAGGTCTGTGCTGGCAGTACTCCCAGGAGCTGGAAAATAAGTTCTTCCTTCCTGAAAGGGAGCTGGCACATCACAGCACCCACCACATGTTGCGAGCAAGAAAAGCGGCTACCAACGTAACACTTTTGAACGCATTTGTGTCTTTCCACAGTGCCAGGTTTATTGAGTGGAACCTTCCAGATAAACCAATCAGGTACCCACACAGGTTAACATACAACACACAAAGAAGGGAATACAGACTCTTATGTAACAGGGCAAAGGGATGAAAGTCCTTAGCATTTCCAAAGCGAGCTCTGTTTACTGGCAGTGTGGAGAGCTGCATGTTGGTCCCAAGCCAACAGCTATGACGAGTCAGAAGGTCAGAGTCTTTGGCTCTAGCGCATCCATCCGTGATGCTATCGGGTCAGGCTTGAGCATCATCTGTCTAAAGTGTTCAGCTTATATGGACCTTACAAGGTGGGATGCTCATGCTTATCAGCTCCTGCAAAGGGAGGGCTGATGTTTCTGTGCTTTTAGGCCTTCCGGTCACACCCTAAGGGTGTTCCCATTATGTGCAAGTTGACATTACTGTCACGAGTCCCTTGAATCTGCTTAGTAAAGTCAAAAAAGCCCTCATTTCTGTATGCTGTCTACATTATACCGCCATACACATTCTTCAGTGTAAAATAGTCCCCACTGCCCAAGGGGTTTTCCACGGTTTTCTCATTTTCTCTCTCTAGGTCTTCTGAGGTTTCAAGAGGGAGGAAAAATTGGAAGCCAGTAGTCATGTTAGTTCAGCATTTTGGTCAGAACCACAGTGAGCCCAGGAACTTTACCTCTTGAAGAAGAGTGTAACCCATTTCCTTTCTTTCTGTGCTCTGTTTCCCATGAGCTGTCATGTCTCTCTGGGGCAGATTTACTTGAGCGGACTTGTTCACTCTAGACCTCAACTCTTTCACTCACTGAGAGCCTCAGTTTCCCAGGGAAGCTGAAGCTAAATGTTCCTCCAAAGACCAACTAGAGCTGAGCAAGATGTGCACTATGGTTGAAGGAGCCTCACGATGGACGACAGCAATATTTTCTATGGTTCCAAAGTATGTCCTGTTGTTAGGTAGTTAGTCATGAGCGACAGGAGCCAAGGCCCAGCTCTGCAACCATAGAAACTTCCCCTGAAGACTTTCCTTAAGTACCTCCCAGAAATACTTCCCTTTTAGGGTGATAAATTACCCCAAATCTTAGAACACAAAGGCCATTAAAACCGCTGGCCTAAACCAGCTACGAACAGATGCAGAGAAAGTACTGCCCATAACTTCAGCCTCATTATACCATCATAATATCATGACTATGCCTAGAAGTTCATGAATAACAGACTAAATTCTGGGTAAGTACACGTGGAGTAGGCATAAAGTTATATAGCAGCCAACTGTCAGTCTAGATGACCCCACGTATGGATCATCTAGGACCTCCCATCCCAGCCCAAATATAAACACACCTTCCCATTTCTGCATTGTACAGCATTCGTGACTGGAAACCCACCCCTCCCTTTGGGGCATACTATCTTATCTCTTCACCTCCTACATTCCACAGGGCTACGGCCTTCTCTAGCATGGCCTGCCTCCTTCTAAAATATATTTTCAATAAATCTTACTTTTTCTAAATCTCACCAACCTATAATCTTTGCTGCGTCAAAGGAACACGCATCGTCCACTAACCACTCTACTCCACCTCTTCCTCCTCCTCCCCACACCACTGGGGTGATGCCGGATTTCACCTCGCCCCAGCAGTGACACTGTGAGACCCACAGAACCACCCTCCATCATTTCTCAGGCCCCAGACCCTCACCTCGGAACAACTTTAGATTTGCTTTCTAGCAAGATTATACTGAAGACTGCAGGAGGAGGGGGTGCGTGAAAAGGTACAACTGGAGACAGAAGCCAGTTACATGACTGTGATGGTGTGGTAGTTTTTTAAAGGTCCACAAATTCGTTGATACTTCATTTTTCAAGAGGTCAAGGCTAATTTTACCACCTCCTCATCAAAGAGTGTTGATGGAACTTAGTGACCTGCTTTTAAGAAAGTGATGGTGTATGACTTCAGAGACCAGGTCACAAAAGCAAGCAAAGAAAACTAAATAAAGAAAAAGGCACAACAAAAGTAGCTGTCCTTCAAAAAGTTTATCTGTGAAGCAAAGGAGTGGTATGCTAATGCCAATAGGGAAATTTTTACCTATTTCTTTGTCTTAACACTAAAGAGCCACAGCCTTTGTCTTTTCCTCTTCTAATTTATTTTGTTTACTTTTCACTGAACTTCTAACTGTTGTTAATCTTTGCCTTTGAGCCATCATTTTCTTTTTTCAGCTATAAGAAAACAGCCCTCTTCTCGATACTGAATTAACAAATATTAAATTTATATGGATCCAACTTGGCCTGTTAGAATAATAGGCAAAATATAGAACAACTCCGGCTTGGGAAACATAAAAAAATGCATGATACAAGATCAAGACGTAAGTCATATCTGTTTGTTAAATGGAACATAAACCAAGATTCTAACCATACAGCTGCTAAAGTCCCACCAGATTTCTCATAGGGGAGAAAATACAAGAGTAGAAATGAGGATGCAAGCTCTGGCACTGGCTCCTCCAGGGTCACTCTTGTAACACCCCTGGTGTTGTTTCCTTTTCCTGACCAGGGGTCATTCTTTCCTTCCTGGCATTCCAAACACCCAGAGAAATCAGCTAGAAGACAGACTGAGCAGCCAGGAGCGCACCATAGCATTCCTCCTGGAACAAGCCTTCCGCATCAAGGAGGACATCTCTGCTTGTCTTCAGGGGACCCATGGCTTTCGAAAAGAGGAGTCACTTGCCAGGAGGCTGCTGGAAAACCATATCCAGACCATCACCAGCATCGTCAAAAAACTCAGCCAAAACATTGAGGTAGTTCTTTACTTCCTATATGGAGGCATCATTGCTTGACAAAGATTATTAACCATCAATGTCATTTTTCAACTGTAGAAATGAGTTGCTATTGCTGTTTAAATGATTACCATTTTGTTGCCTCTGAGGAAAACAATTAAGTATTCCAACTGCACATTTATGCCAAAAAGTAGATAGAAATTATATTAAAAAAATACTTGTTGATTATCTATGTGACAGCAAAGGCAATTATTTAACATTATGTCAAATATTGTGCTAAGGTGCTTATCTTAGTCTAAATCGCTAAGATTCTATCTATGTAACCATTTCAAATAGAGGTTTGCATAATGCCGTGCCAATGCGGGGTCATAGGACCATTATAGTCTCTCTGTGCTCCATCTCCCACTGCTCTCTCCTTCACTCTGGCCATACTGCCTCCCAGCTCTTCCTCGAACATATCAAACACTCTAGCTTTAGGGCCTTTACACCTGCTATTCACTCTGGCTAGATCATTTTCCCTTAGATATTCCTATGAAATGTTCTTCATTCCCTCCAAGGTATCATCTTATCAGAGAATAGTCCCTTGGCATGCTATAAAATAGCACCCCTCCCCATCTCAACTGTCACAATCTCCTTTAAATCCTACATTATTTTTATCCATAGCACTTACCACAAAAAAGTCTAAATTTATTGTTTGTTTTCCTCTTATAAAATATAATCTCCATGACAGCAGGGATTTGGTTTTGTTCACTGCTAAATCCTACACCAGGCGATGAGAATGCCTGCTAGGTAGTCAGCACTCTGTAAATATTTTCTGAATAGATGAATGAATGAATGAGCGAGTGATGTTTAAGGTATCAAAGGGAAAACAGAGTCTCTGATCAATAAAGAAAATGCTTGGGTTAAACCAAGATAAACAGGTTTTTACTACATATCTTTCAGACCTGTTTTTAAAGTGTTAAGGGGCACGATGAACTTGGGGTAGCAACTTTCAGGCAAGCATTCCAGAATACACTTTAGGAAGCTAGCCGAAAATGTGTGGAATTATCATGAGAATTAATGACAATGCTCTCATTTTCTACTATTGGAGACAATAGTGGACTAGACAAAAACAAACAAAAGACAACCTGAGATTGACCTATCAATGACCTCATGACTGTGTATTTAAGGCTAAGGATATTTATTAATTTATTTTCTATTTGGAGGGCCTGGCAGACCCTAGAATGCATCTGAGGGAATGTGGAAATTTAAAAAATCTTAGCGAATTTTTAAAAGGCACTTTATTGGCATTTAGCACATACTGAATTGACCCCTCTGCCTAAAACTCAAGGCTACTCTCAAAATGGTTAAAGGTATTTCCAGGCATAATAAAGTGTCATGAAAGTAACAAAAGATAAGAGGCTCAGTGCCTCTGAGATGATGAGAAAGTCAAGTAAGTGTAGCACTATCACTAAAATAAGATCCTAACTTAGGAAGCAAAACTTCTTGGGAATTGAAGAGAACCACATTCTCAGAACTATCTTCTAGAATGTTCTAGATATTTATTTGGGTAGTTGTTTTGTGATTGATTATATTTGTCAAAATTCATCCAGATACAAACTTTGATTTGTACATTTTAAAACAAATTACTTATACCTCAATAAAATATTCTTAGCATTAAGAGAAGAAAAGTTCCCCAAAACTGTAAAATCTCAAAATCTATGCGATCCTGTTAAGGGTTTGACATATACAGGGAAAATAAAGAGGACTGGTCTGATTGTAGAGAAAACTGAATTAGAAAATAATTTAAAGGTTATAGATAATGTAGTTAAAACATTATGAAGATAAACAGTTAGGCTACCTTTAGTAAATAACTAAGACTATAAAGCAATAAGCATTTTACAGAGAAATGGATGCTATTCAAGTATTTTGAAAGAATTTAAACTCCTTAACCAGAACAGCCTATTTGCAAATTTGTTAGCAAGATAGATCCAAGTATGAGTTGAAGCCTGACTTAAGTCATTAAAAGGAATGAAAAATTTTTTTTCTTAATCGACCTTAATTGCTGTAGCTAAATTGCTTGTTCCTTTTTAAAATCAAATTATTCCTTTCTTTAAGCAGCCAGCTAATTATGGTTTAAATTTTATTTTTAACTCAAAAAAAAAAAAGAGAATTTTATGTATAACATTGATTTACTGTGTTTTTCCCAACTTATATAAGTAATACTTGTTCATTGTATTAATTTTGAAAGCTTAGGGAAAAAATTTAAAACCCAGGAAGAAAAGTTCTCACAATTCCACCACCAAATGGCAATCTCTACACTCAGACGCACCTCCCTCTAGTGCATCCGGACATCCCATTTAGGAGGCTAAGACTACATTTATAGGCACAATCTTTAATATAAATTATATCATAAAGTCTTCTATATGTCATTAAAAGATCTTTGCATGGTACTATACCAAGATTGCTTAATTATTCTTCTAATATTGAAATATCTTCGTGCATAAATATATGTCTGCATTTGAATTATTTCCATACTATATATTCTTAGAAGTAGAACTACCAGGGTATAAACACTGTAAAAACTTTTGATGCATGCTGCTAAATTGGTTTCCAGAAAGTATATAGCTATTCACACTTGAATTAGCATTATATGAAAGTGCTTTCTTCACTGTTCTAATTCCAGCATCAAGATTTATTCTTTTAATCTTTGCTAATTTGATGGGAATAGAAATGAGATCTTTCTTTTTAACTTCTTAAAAGTAACTATAGTGATTTGCATTTTCTCTGTCCATAATCTGATAATGTCTTTATTCAATTTATTTGGTGGGGGCAGAGGGGTTGGTTAGTGCTTTTTAATTCTTATCGATTTGATGAGTTTTATTATTAATTTAAGAATAATAACCAGTAGTACGTTGGTAAATGTTTAACAATCAGTAATAAATTTTTTTCTGGGTGATAAAAGTCCGATTTGCAGTGTTTGCCTATTTATATGGAGCAACTCTCACTGTAATTGATTTCAAACACCAGTATGATGTTACTGAACATAAAGACAGGAGGAGGCATGCACATTCGGCTCTCACGAGCAGGTCCATGTTGATTGTAGCACACCACTGAAACTCTTGGCAATAAGATCTGTTATATTTTTCCATTTTTTTATTTATATCTAAATTACATTTAAAATGTTTTTTACAAGTACTATATAAAGTTAAGCATTCCAATATTTTGCTTTGCGATTTCTCTCATTATTTTCTAAGAAATTTCTTCAAAGATGAAATGACTTCCTCTATTATCTGTTATTTTTATGATTTAACTTTTTATTTATACTCTAGTTTTCCAAAATCTATATTGATGTAGGACATGAAGCCAAGATCTAAATGCATTGTTTTCTGAATAAGTTATCAGAGATCCCAAAACCATTTGTGAAATTGCTCCCCCATTGATTTGTGAATCTCACGTATAGCATATTTCTTTCTTAGATTTACCAAGGTTTTCATTATATTAATTAATCTATTTAGCAATATACATCTGTTTAGCTATACTGATTTACTTATCCTTATTTTATAAAATTTTTTAGTACTTAGTAGGGCAAGTACCCTTTCATCACTGTTCTTTATAAAAACAAAGCATACACAACACCTACTATTATGGTCCTTATGTGTTCCCCACAAATTCATAATGCAATCCTAATGCCCAATGTGATGGTATCAGGAGGTGGGGACTTTGGGCGGTATTTAGGTCATGAAGATGGAGTTCTCATGAATAAAATAGTGTTCTCATAAAAGATATTCCACAGAGCTCCCCAGTCCCTTTCACTATGTAAGGACACAGCAAATAGTTGGCAGTCTGCAACCCAAAAGATGGCCCTCAGCAGAACTGGCCTATGCTGGTACTCTGATCTTGGACCTCCAGCCTCCGGAACTGTGAGAAATAAATTTTTGTTTTTATAAGCTACCCAGTCTGTGATATTTTGTTATAGCCACCTGGACTAAGACCCTACACAAATGGAAAAACTAAAAACAAACAAACAAAAAAACTCTAGCTAGTGTTTTTGACACTTTTATGTCTTCTGTTAAACCTTTCTTTGCTCTTAGGTTGTCTTAATCTGCTGGCTTACAAATGGGCAAGATTCTGTATATGGTCTTTGAAATTCCTATACTTCATTTGCTACAAAAATCTTTCTTTTCCTCAGAAAATTAATAAACATAAGTTTAAACATAGTTCAGGCCTTGGTCAAATATAGCAAATAAAGTCTACGGCCATGTCACCCTGAACAAGCCCGATCCTGGGAGTCTGATCTCGGAAGCTAATCAGGGTTGGGCCTGGTTAGTACTTGGATGGGAGACCACCTAGGAAGACCAGGTGCTGTAGGCATTAAAAATAAAAAACAAGGGATTGTAAACTGACAAGGTCCTTCCAATCTGTGAGGTCAACCAAGTGTTGCCTTGCCTAAAAATATATATATATATGTATATATACATATATATGTGTATACACACACACACACACACACACACACACACACACACACACACATATAGTTTCCCACATCAAAGTGATGAGTTTTCCAAAGTCATTATACTCGCACTTTTTTCTGAGTAAATACAAATTCTTTTTTATATGCCCTCACTTTACGCTGGAATTTATTTGAATGTCAAGTAAGATATAAATTTTTCTATGGACAAGCAGAAGTTTTTCAATTATTAAAGTAATATTTTTATATGAGTGCAAAAAATTAAAAAACTACTGTTCTTGGGACCTGAAATAGAGTCAGCTCTATTTCAGAAGATCTAGATATAATGTGAAGATAGTTGAGCCATAAATCTCTCATATTCTCTAAAAATACTTAGAACAGTAAACCTTTTTTACTCTGTGTGTATGAAACAGTTTGAGTCAGATTTGCTTGTGTTAGTTGTATTAGCTTCATTATGTTCTGATTCAATCTGTGAAAGGCCTTGCCTGATGCCATTTGAAAGATCCTTTTTATCCGAAACTTACCACCAACTCTGAAATAGGTTTTCATGAAAAGCTTTTGTATCAATGATGGCCAAATGACAACCCATTGCCAAACAGTACAAATATATATTTTGTTTGGCCCACAGAGTGCTTATAAAAGATTTTGAATAAGATGTCAGTATTTAAATCTGGATTTCTGGTTTCTAAAGTACTGTTAAACCATTGTTCTTTCCTGGTGACAATCAGTTGGAATTAAGCCATTGCTGCCTTCTTGGGATAAAGCAGGAGTGGCTTCTCTCTGACATAGCACTCTCTCACTCATTTACACTATCAACCTAACTAGGAAATGCATTCGATTTTGTAACCTCTGCTTTAAACAATATTTTCTTATCATGTGTGATGGAAAATTAATGGGAATTTTACTCAAAATTACAGATTTTAGAAGACCAAATAAGAGTTCGAGATCAGGCGGCCACAGGAACTAATTTTGCAGTCCAAGAGCTAAACACCAAACATCTTCACGGAGTTGGAGATCTTCGAGGAAGAGTAGCCAGGTGAGAAGCAGCACATTAACTAACATTTAGCAGTCAGTTCTTGGCCACTCGATTCCCATTCTCAAATAAGTTCCGTATTGTTCTCAAAAATTCCAAACAAGATACTGTCTTTACATTAAGGTAAACCGATGAAGTGGTAATTGAGAAATTATGTCATAGATTTTGAAAACCTTATGCTACCTTTGAGATCCGATTTTTCTATAAAAGTCTCATACAGAATGTCATTTGATCTACAAGTGACAAGAGTCTTCTCTTTACAGACCTCAACTGTGCAAATGCCAGCATTCATACAAAAACACGCCCTCATAACCACATATAAAATCCCCAAGAGTTAAATTCTAATTATTAAACCATTTAAAATACACAAGAATTACATATTAAAGTCTAAGGAAAGGGATTTACTGCCAATGGATAAAATTTTGAATAACGTCTTTTGAGATTTCTAAAATCAAAAGAATTAATGGTATACAGTTCAGTAAAAATCTGTAGGCATTGACAATGGCAGGACCACTCTGGTGGACACATCGAAGATGACTTGTGAATGGCTCACCATAAACACCTCCCTATCTCTACATCTCCTGCCCGGCACCTCTTCTCTCCCTCCTGGAATACCTCTACCTCCATTTTGTTAACCACTCTGAAGTGTTAATGACCAAATATAACACCTACTACATAATATCAAGAAGACATTCAACTCTCTTTACTCTGCTCTGGTTCTTTTGGTTTGTCTTTTCTTTAAAATAAAAAGTTGTATATATTTTAGGTACACAACATGATGCCTTGATATACATATACATCATAAAATGATTACCACAGTCAATATAATTAACATATCTTGTCACAGTTATCTTTTTTGTGTGTAATGAGGGCTCCTGAAATTTACTCTCAGCTTATTTCCATTCTTCAGTCCTGCTAGACCATCAGGTTTATAGTCTTACTCATCCAACATAACTGCAACTTCACATCCTTTGACCAATATCTCCCCATTTCCCTCACCTCTTTACCCTTAACCACTATTCTACTCTCTGCTTCTCTGTATTTGACATTTTTATATTCCACATGTAAGTGACATCATGCAGTTTTTGTCTTTGTGCCTAGCATATTTTACTTATGATAATGTCCATCAGGTTCATGTGGTCTTAAATGGCAATATCTTTTATGAGACTGAAAGTACTCCTCTGTGTGTTTGTGTGTGTACATATACCACAATTTCTTTATCCATTCATCCATCAATGTATATCTAAGTGGTTTCCATAGCTTGGCTATTTGAATATTGCTGCAATGAACATGGGAGTACAGATATTTCTTCCAGGTACTGATTTCATTTCCTTTGGGCATATTTTCAGAAGAGGAGGTTTGCTAGACATTATCTATTATTAGTTTTTTGAAAACCCTCCATGCTGTTTTCTGTAATGGCTGTACCAATTTACATTCCTGCCAATAGTATACAAAGGTTCCCTTTCCTCCACATACGCTCCAACACTTACATTTTATTTCTTGATAATAGCCATCTCAACATATACGAGGTAGTATCTCATCATGGTTTTGATTTGCATTTCCCTGATGATTAGTGACAGTAAGCATCTTTTCATGAACCTGTTGGCCATTTGTATATCATCTTCCAACAAATGTCTGTTCAGGTCCTTTGTCCATTTTTTAATCTTGTGGCCATTTAAAATCACTTCTTTGTTTTCTGTGTTCCCAGGGGACTCACAACTGAACCCCACTAACTCTCAGAGATAGGTGAATTCAGAGCCAGTCTCTCAAATGACAGTTGTAAAAGTTGGAGAGCTAGATGTGTGGTCCAAATCCTTCACTCCTCAGGGAGAAGCTGGGATTTGGGGGTTCCCTCCCAATTATAAGGCACTGCGCCAGGGATGGGGTTTATGACATGAGTGTGTCTCAGCTTTTTCTACCCATTTTGGTAGAGATATTTTCTTATTTGCCTGATGTGTAGGAGTCTCTAGTTTCTTTCTCTCAAGGAAATTTTCTCTCAAGAAATTGACCCGTGCATAGTTGTTTACTTGGAGTACCTGTGGGAGGAATGAAAATCAAGAGCCTCCTATTCATCTATCTTCCTCTCTTGTCTCTTACTTACCTTCCTCTTCAATCTTAAATAGTGGTTTGAAGACAAGGTTTTATTTTTCCTTGAAATGTCTTTCTTTTATAAAAATTTTCTTCAATCTATTTGGTAATCTGAGACAGAATCTGGCTGAAAGCCATGAGATTTAAATTCACTTTTCCTCTTCTATTTCTTTTCTGTATTTTTACCAGGCAATTGACTAATGGACAAACTGAGGTAGATTAATTATTGTTTTAATTATTGACCTTAATTTCAATTTGCATTTTGGCATAAATGAAATTGATTATTTTAACATAATTCTTAGCAATTTATTGCTTCATAAATCAAACTCAATATTTGATAACTACAATGTGCTTCGAATTTTACACTGTATTTTCCACCCCACTACAGTGGCAGTTTAAAAGAAAGTACTTCCAATGAGATGAGGTTCTCAAAATTGTCTGGCCTGCTTCTCGCACCCTCTCCTCTATTCAGTAGATTAGTCTTAACTGCAAAAAAGGAAAAGTTGAGTCTGTAAAGGGCACCCGCAGGGATGGCTCTGGCTTGCAATCTGTAGCAGCAGCCAGAAGAGGCCAACCCTCTAGGCACCTTAGGCTATTTGGGACCCAAAGGCAGATCTGCATATGAAAAAAACAAAAATGACAAATTGTGTAGACATGTGATTAAAAGCAAAAGTCACATCCTTTGAAAAAACAATAATGATATGGATATTGCCAGCTTTCAAAAAGTTAAGAGTGAAGACTTCTGTTTAAAGATAGTAGGACAAAGATAGTTTTCCTCCTCTCACTTGAGACATCTCAGTGCCAGTTTAAAAGAAAAAGAAAAGAAACTCCATCTTTAATATGATATGGAAGCTGCCATAATTGTCAAACCCAAGCAGAGTGGGTCTGTGATGTTTGGGGTGATAGAGTCCTCCTTAGACCTTAAACGTAATGATTTCCTCCAAATCAAGAGTCATCATCCTGAAAGGCATAGGCCAAATAATTTCAATAGAGCACTATTACCTAGGGGCTTGGGTAGGTCATAGGAGAGATAGAAAATGTCCCTGTAGAGATTCAGATTAGTGATACAGAACAGCTGGGTAGGTGTAGCTGAAGATGCAATCATGATAGTTATCATCTAGGACCTTTCTCTTTGCCAATTCATACCTGAGAGAAACTGGCTGAAGTACAGCACAACGAGGAAGGAGAGGAGATGATAGTGTCACAACAGAAAATCTATGACTTAATGATTTGCTCTGAGATGTACAATCTGGTTTTTGAGAATAAAATGGGGGAGATGTGCACTCCCCACCCCCAGGCCTAAGAAAATAACAGATTTCTACTCAGACAAACCTGAGTAGAGGATATAATCTACTCTCCACCAAACACCCACTCAATGATCTTCTGCAGGTAGCCAGAATCATTAAAAAAAGTAAGAGTAGTAGTTCGGAAGAATCTAGCTTGTGCATAAAAATCATCACCACCACCATCCATAGATAGATTAGATAAATTAGATAGATTAGAGATTAGATAGATTAGATAGGCTAGATAGAGATAGACATAAAAACATAAGGGTGATTAATATACCTCATGAGAGGAATTACCCTCAAAACACAAGAAGAGTTAAAATAAAAGGTTCAAAGAAATTAAGAGCAAAAGAAAGAGATCAGATATTGCTGATTGAACAGTTACATGTAATTTTGCTTCTTCCAAAAGCCCCACTAAATCTACAGTAAAAAGATTTTCTCTTTAAAACATAAACCCACAAAGACCAGGGACATTAGCATAGAAACCTTAGAATCTAGAAGACAGATGGACATATGGCAACTAACTTACAGATGTAATAAAATCAATTTTAAGCTGTGAGATAAGCTGAAAATGACTTAGTTTTACACTAAAGAATCCTCAAAAGACGTTGGCTGCACAGGAACCTCCAAAACTGTGGGTAAAGGTGGGCACTTGCCTCTCAGGAGAGGAACTGAGAAGTAGGGAGAGGCTGAGCAAGAAACTACTATACTCTGTTATTAGTCTTTTGTTATTATTGACTTTTAAATATAGGCATGTTTCACTTTGATAAAAATATGAGATAAAAGGGTTTACCCGCCCCCCCCACAAAAAAAAGAGATTTCAGGTAACAAAAGGAGATAGATAAACTGGAATTGCTCAGGGATATAGTGAAAGAAAAAATTAAAATATTACAGAGATTAAATCTACTTTAGAAGCCCTCCAAATAGAATAAATATGACTAGAAATAAGTTATTAAAAAAAAAAACAAGCATGAGCAAACCATGTAAGACAAAAAGAAAATGGTTTTTAATGTAAAAATGCTTATAGAGAAATGATGTATATGGCAGATCAGTAAAATTCATTCCACATAGACCTAATAGGAGCTCCTGAAGAAGCAAAACAAATTATTCAGGAAAAAAAAAGTATTCATAGATATAAGAGAAGAAAGCTTTCTTGCCAGAGATTTGAATGTGCTGCTCAAAAGAATAAACTAACCCCAGAAAAGTTAATATAAGAACAATTATACCAAGATATCCTGATTGAAGTTACTGAACATCAAGAATAAAGAATCATTAGAAGAAAAAAGAATCATTAGACATACCTAGGCAGACAAAACAGATCACATAAAATGTCACCTCGGACTTCTCCACTTCAACCAATGCCAGAAAAGAATGGAGCAACATCTATCTTGTTCTGAACAAAAGAAAAAGTGGTCCAGTGATGTTAAATGAGTTATCTTTCAAGTATAAGAGAACAGACAGACATTCTCAAGCACTCAAGAACTTAAAGATTCCAATATTCTTGAGGCTCTCTTTCGAAATCTGGATGGCAAAATCTGGATAGCCAAGGAATAAATCAAAATAAGAGTCTCAGAAAAGAAATCATGGTTTAAAAGGACTGTCAATGAATATAGGCTCTAAATATAGAATAAAGATTAAATGACAGTGAGAAATCTGGTTATAGAACAATGTAAATGTCATGTAACTTGACATTTTAAAAAAAAACAAAATATGAACAAAAACTGTTAAAGAACAAGTATATAAACTTATTTATTTCCTCAGTTTTTGGCACATGGTCAATAAGTAATGTCTAAAGTTGAAATGGTAAGTGTAAAAAGCATGATTCCAATTTATGATAGCTTTTTATAACTTCTTTTTAAAAAATATCTCTGGTAGTAAAGAACTATATATCTTAAGTTCAGTAATTTCTTCATTTTTCACTACAGTTTGCTTTCCTTAAGTTAAATTAAATTAAATTTCAATGTAACATTTTTAACCAAGTTGGCATATACAATACAAATATTCTAAAATTAGTTTATTATATTTCTATCTTCCTCCCATCTGTGTGTGTGTGTGTGTGTGTGTGTGTGTGTGTGTGTGTGTGTGTGTGTGTGTGTGGTGAATTCAATGACACCCATTAACAATGATTATTTCTGAAAAGTAGAATTCGGGATATCAATTCTCCTCTTTGTTCTTTTGGTATGTGAAAATTTTTTATAATAGACTTGTGTTATTTTAACAGAAACAAAATCACTCCAAAGGAGGAAAGGAGAAACTTCCTTTTGGAATATAGAGTGCAGCTTTGGAAAACCACTAATCCTTAACTGCAGAGTGTGGGATGAGCTGGCTGGGTTGGCGGGGAGGTGAAAATGAACAGGTGACAAGTGCCAAGTAGCGTAAATAATAACTGCTGATCTTGTGTGGGAGGTCCCTCCCTGTGAGGCACTGGCTAAGCGCTTTGCATTCATTACCTCCATTCATCCTTCAATAACCGTATGAAGTAACATTATTCAAGGCAGCTACTAAGGGTTTTGAAGGAACCCTGAAACTTATGATCAATACAATAGGTAATCTGCTCTTCCCCAAGAGAGCCATGAGGGGTGGTAGGGGGGTGGGGTTCCCTGACATGCTGGGAAGATGGTTAATCTTCAACTCCTACCCCATATCCATTGAGTTCCTTCCGAAAAATACTAAAGGCAATTTATAGGCCAAGGCTTCATTCACATGTTACTGTGGATTTTTTTTTTTTTTCCTTACATAAGACAATACTCGACTGAGACCACTCAAAGAGCAGAAGTTTTGATTGGGAGTAAGAGGATGTAAATTGTATTTTGAAGATGGGTTGAAAGACTTTGGTGGGCTAGGATATTTTTTTCTAGCAGATGAGAATTAACAATCTGGGAACCAAGAAAAGAGGCTAATGAGAGAAAAGTGGATTTACAATGTGATATAGAAGAATTTCAGTTTTGCCTAACCATAGGAAGCAGAAATAGTCTCAAAACATTAAAATCTTTTGGAACTCCTATGACTGAGTTAACATATCAGGCTGAAAATCTAAAATTTTCCCCCAGTCTCCAACTCTACTCCAATGTTTTCATCTACTCCAACTCAGTTTTTCTGGTTTGGGCCAGAGTTTTAATATCTGACTTGGTTTCTTTCCCATTAGGAAGAGAAGAAAAAATATGAAGGAGAGTTCTGTATATTCTCCCACATCTACCAACTCATTTTTCAAAGAACTTTAGAACTTTTGGCATCAAACCAATGCACAGATCCTACTATAGTATTAAAAATGTTATGAACATACTGATCTCACAAACAATTTCCATCTTACCACTAGATGTGATTCCAGCATCATGAAGCTTTCTGAAGACATTCATTTCATCAGGCATGAGCACCAGCAAATTGAAAAAACAATTAAAGAGCTCGTGTCTGCCCTAGAAATTGTTTCTAAGAATTTGGATATGAAGGTAACTGAAAATAGATGGAACGCTTATGTGTTACTGCCAGAAGTCAGATCCCTATAGTTTATCAACATGCCCAGTCAAGTGGTAATTGTTCAACAGAACTCTTTTCTTCCAAAAAGTTTAAACAGCTCATGCATATACACCATGAATACTGTCAGTTCAATCAACAAATATGTAATGAGTGCCTCCTGTGTTTCAACGCACCCACCCAATTAAGTATGCCACTTGATGCCACTGTTGCCATTACTTCCTTCCTCTCTGGGTTCCCCACAAAGACTGTAGAACCAAGGACTATAAACAAAAGATTTTCTCAGGGTAGGTGTTATTAAAGTTCCAACATACATGAGTTGATCATGTACATCACTGCAATGGGTTATGTCTCTTACAAAATAATATACAAGACCATTTGCCTGGGTATTAAAGGCCATCTCTATACTGGCCTCTGCTTCTCTCTTCAGTTCACCTCCTATGCCTATGGCTTGTCCTTTATACCCAGTGATACTGAACTAGCTGCAGGGAGGTCCCCACTCAATCCAAGATATTGCATGGCCTCCATGCTGTCCTGGTTCTTTCCTGCTTGAAATGTCTCTCCCCTTTCTCATCTTCCAAACCAGTGTTTGGACTAAAAGCACAAATGCAAAGTCTTCTGTGTCCCACCTTGTCTCATGCCTTATGTGAAACAAGCACATTTCTTTTGAAGTCCTTTGGGCAGAACAAAGTGGAAATCCTTTGGGAACTGGGGAAGTAAAGTTTGGTGTTTGGTGATTTGTTTCTGGAAGCCAGTTTATCAAGAGCAGAGGTTCACGGGGCACAGTTTTCTCCAGTCCCGTGAGGCTCCGCTTGTTCATCCTCCTATGCACCCATCTAATTAGTCCTAATAGTTTCTAGGTTGATTCTCTTAGTTTTTCAAGGTACTCAATCATATCGACAACAAATTATGACAATTTTATCTCCAGTTTTCTGATATAATACCTCATTACTTTTTTCCTAAGGTCTTGGCTAGAACTTCTAGAACACTGTTAAATAAAAGTTATCATAGAAGGCAAACTTATCTGGTTCCTGACTATGCTGTTGGGTGTTGATTTGATATATTTTTAATCATGTAAAGGAATTATCCATCAATTCCTACTTTACTTAGTTTTTGTAGGACTGAACATTTAGTTTTATTGAATGCTTTTTAGACATCAATGAGTGCCTACATCACCATCTTGTTTTTTGATTTGAGTTTTTGCTTGTTTATTTACTTCTTTGGCTATTTTATTTTATTTTTAGGCGAGGCAACCCTTGGTCGACCTCACAGATTTCAAGGACCTTGTCAGCTTACAATCCCTTACTTTTTAATTTTTTATGCCTATAGCACCTGGTCTTCCTAGGTGGTCTCCTATCCAAGTACTAACCAGGCCTGACCCTGCTTACCTTCCAAGATCAGATGGGATCAGGCTTGTTCAGGGTAGCATGGTCATAGACCTCTTTGAGTTTCTAATGTGCTATGTTAATACATTTTCCAATACTGAAACATTCTTGAATTTCTGTAATGAAAGCTACGTAGCTATTGTGTAATACTTTATTTTGTATCTAAATTCAAGAGTGACATTGGACTATAAAGTTTCTTCTGTTTTTTTTTTTTAAAAAAAAAACAGGTAATGTATACATATGATCCAAGAATCGAAATTATGTAAAATAATATGCCCTGAGAATTTTCACTCCCACTTTTGTCACTAATTATCACATTCTTTCATGCCTCTTATAGATAACCATTTTTACCAGTCAATTGTGGATCATTTTGGTATATCTTTATGCAGATACAAACAAATGCAAATATGTAGTCTTATTTTCCCCTTTATTACACAAAGGAATAGCGTATTGTATATGTTACAATATATCTAGGTACAATGCATCTACCTAAACAAACATATGCTGGAGATCCACCATATCAAGACATGGAGAGCTTCCGTATTCATTTGTTTAACAACTGCATACCCTTTTTCTGTGTATAACAGTTCATTTAACCAATCTCTAATGATGGACATTTGGTTCTTTTCAATATTTTACTCTTTCGAACAATACTGCAATGTAACCTTGCATTTATAGCATTTTCCGTGTACGTGTGTGTCTGTAGGATAAATACCAGAAATGAGATTGCTGGGTCAAAGGTACATGTTTGTTATTTTGAAAGATCTTGTTCCCTGTAGGACTTCTAGCATACTACACACCCACAAGCAACTGAATTGTCCTACATCCCCATTGCCTCACAAATGAGTGTTTGACTTTTGAAATTTGCCATTCTTATAGGAAAAAGACAGCATCTCTGTGTAATTACCTTTCTTATTATGAATGAGGTTGAGAATCTTCTTATATTTAAGAGCTATTTATATTTCTTTTTCAGTGAGTAGTCTGTTCATGTCTTTTATCCATTTCCCTATTGGCCTATTTTTCTTTTTCTTCTCAATTTGCAGGAGCTCTTTATATGTTAGGGAGAAGAACATTTTCTCTATGATATGAGCTGCAAATACATTTTCCCAGTTTGTCATTTGTCTTTTGACATGCATATGTTCTCTATTTGTAGGTGAATTTATCCGTCATTTTGTTTGTGGCTTCTGGAATTTTGAGTCACAGTTAGAAAGACTTAAAAGAATTGCTCATATTTTCTTGTCATTTTCAGTGCTTTATTGGTTACATTTAAATCCTTGATCTATTTGGAGGTTTTCCTAGTATAGGATATGTCTTAATTATTATAGTATTGAAGCCTCATAGTATTTTTACTAGTAGGGCTAGTCTCTTTCATTGCTTTCCCCACCCTCCCTTTTTTTGGTGATAATTGTTTTCATATGTGATTTTTAAATCAATCTATCCAGTTCCAGCAAATAAATTAACAAATAAACTCGGCTTTAAATTTATTAAAAGTGTGTTAAATTTATAAATTAACTTTAACATTGACATAGTCAATGCTGAATGTTATGAGTATCCAATAACATCATGTGCTTCCCACTGTTCAGGTTTGCTTTTATATCCTTTAGGGATGGTTTCAAATTTTCCTCATATAGTTTTGACATCATTTCTTCTTAAATATATTTTGATATTTTGTTACCTTTTCTGGCTTTAGTTTATTGTGGTGGGAGTTTCATTATATCTTCTGACTAGTTGCTATATCATGAAGACTGTTAATTTTATATTCCACTAACTTAGTGAATTCTGTTCTCGACACTAGTAATTTTTCATGTTTTTTTCAGGCACATAATCACATTTTAAAATAATTTTACCTCATCTTTTTCCATTTTCACACACATAATTTCTCTCCCTTTTCTAATCACTTTGATTAATAACCCCAGTATAATATTAAATAGTAGTGCCATGAAGAGGGCAGCCTGCTCTTGTTCCTGACTTTAAAAGAAAGGCCGCCAGTGTGTCCCTTATCCTCAATAAACATGTTTAATATGCAACTATTCCTATTTTACTGTTGTTGTTTTTTTTTAATCAGAAATAATTAGGAATGTTTGTCAAATGCCTTTCAGCATTTGTGGAGATAATCATGTGAGTTTTCTCCTGAGTTTTACCAGAATAATTATTTGTATTGATACATTTCCTACTATTAAACTATCCCTCCTTTTAAAAAATAAATTGCACTTGATTATAATGTGTTTGTCTGTGTGCGTGTAGGTGTGTGGTTTGTATGTGTGCTGCTGGATACTGTTTGCTAATCTTTTATTTTAAATTTTTGCATCAATGATTATAAATAAGATTAATCTTATCTTTTTATATGTGTGTACAATTTTTTCAGATTTTAGAATCAATGTTGCGCTGGCTTCAGGAAATAATTTGAAAGTTTCTCTTCTTTTTCTACACTCCGAATCAATGTAAAGAGTACTATAATTTTCTATTCTTTAAAAATTTGGTAACTTTGCCTCTGAAACTCTCTGGGCCTGATGTTTTGGTGGAGGAAGTAGTCCTTTGATATATTTGCTCAGTTTTTTTCTATGGAAATTGGTCTGTTCAAACATTCTATATATTCAAGGGTCAGCATTAGTAAGTTACTTTTTCTCAGAAAAATATCTATTTCACTCAAGTTTTGAAATATATTAGCTGCCTCCGGCTCCAGCTAAAGAAAGTTCTCTGCTTTTAGGGGTTCATGTAATTAGACTAGGCCAACTTAGATAAAACAAGATAATGTCCCTACTTCAAGGTCTGTAAACTTAATTACAGTTGCAAATCCCTTTGGCCATCTAAGACAGCATAACACGGGTTTCAAGGATGACAGCTGTTCTGCCTACTCCAATTTATCAATTTCTTTATCCTACTTTCCTTTGGTTAGGTTTGTTATTCTTTCTTTTTAATTTTGTGAAATAAATAGTATACATAGCTTCATTCTGTCTTCTATAATTATGGAAACATTTAATGTCACAAAATTTATCTCTGATTATAGATGTGGTTGTGTTTTTTTGATATGTAATGTTTTCATTGTCCTTTTCTAAGTAAATTGTAATTGCAGAATTAATTTATTCTTTGACACTTGCATTAGCCCTTTGAGAAGCAAATGCAATAAAGAAATTAGATGTGCAAGATACTTGAGGGAAAAAACTGTGAAGGAAAATGGGGAGGAGACCGGAGGAGATGAAGAGAGCCATCAGACTGCAATACAGAACTGACTCCTGTGAAAAAGGCAGAGAAGGAAAGTCTGAGATTGAAATTCTATTCTAACAAAGTTTCACCAAGTTCCTTGAGCCGAAGTCACTCATCAAAGATATTACTCAGACATCGGCTGGGAGAAGCCAGTGGGAAATATGGTGATCGATTTTGAGCTCAAATATCAAGATCTTTGGCCAATTATGCTCTTTCCTCATAGTAGAAGATCTGGGAGGCACATTTTCATGTGAAACACTGGAAATAAGTGATAGAATTAAAAGTGTTTACTCAAATGGTTAGATTTTTGTTTCTTTATACTTTTAACAAGCTTTAGAGCAGTGTACTTAGAGTTATAATCAGAGTTTTTCCTGCTTTTTAGAATAATTTGAGAGTTTATAGTCATGCGTGTGCTTACTTGTTGCGAAGCTCTATGGGCACTGGGAAAGAATGAATGTTTGCTGTTAGCAAGATAGATTGTTTGGTATATATAATAAATAAATTTTATATTTTCATATCTTCCTATATCCTTAACTTATATTTTACTTATTTGACCAGTAGTCAGGAGAAGTCATTTAAAATCACTACTATATTGTCTCCATTAGTTCATCTTTATAATTCTATATGTTCTGAAGAAAAATCAGGGCATCCTTGCAATTCTATAGCTATTTCTTTTCAGTTCAATATATAAAGTAAATTAAGGTTCAAAACTCTTAATTTTTCACTGTGGATTCCACTCTTCATCTATAAGAATGACCATCTTTGCCCATTTAACATATTTTGCCTTGAACATTTTTATCTAACAATATTGCTCTGCCTGCTTTCTTTTTCCTCACTTTTGCCAGGAATGGATTTGTCTATTATTTTATTATTAAAGCAATCCTGCCTTAAGCGTACCTCCTGTAAATAGCCATTCATGTGTTACTGGTTGCCCACCAAATATTAATCTATTCAAACCCTTCCATTATTCACCTCTTTTTCCAAGAGAGCTCTGATTTTGTTAAGTGTCCACTCTCCTCCATATGACCATTTGTTTTAGGACCTGAATTGTTTGGCCAAAGCCAATCGTTTGGTTTCATTCCCCTTGATGTTAGTTGGTTTAGTCTTGATTATGTGCTGTAACTCTGCAACTATTTTCCAATCCGGTACCTTAAGGAACTTCCTCAATGTTTCTGGCAATGTGGAAAACACACTCTTATCCTAACTCTGAGCAGTAAAACTTAGTTTTTCCTACCTTTACGTGCCCTAAGTCATTTCACTTGGGATTTGCTTGTGCTCATGTCAGAATTCTACCTGGAAATTCCTGAGGCCTAATATTAGGCCACTCTATTGTGTTTTTCTCAGAGCCTAACTGTGCATTTAAACATTTATTCAATAAGTATTTGGTGAGCATTTACCATTGGCCATCTGATGTGCACTGAGGGTATAATGGTGATAGAGGATATAGTGGGAAGACAGAAAGTAAATAATCAAATTAACAAATTAACAAACAAATGTCAAAGAATGTTTTTGTTACTTCATTAGGTAGCCTACTATCAAAAGAATATTATAGACAGCAGAAAGGAACATTACTCTATTATTCTATCCCTGATAGTTCTATAACTATTGAATCATTCCTTTGAAAAAAACTTGTTTTTAAATGCGAACATGTTTTAGGCTCAAGCCTATTTTCTGACTTCTTTAGAAAAAAAGTATAATTAATGTAAGTGCTAGTGATTTTGTTCACATACACAAAAAGTTCCCTTTTGTACTTTCATTAGGTAATGCAGCTCTTAGGAAAAATAGAGGCTTCCAATTCTGAGCAAATTTCAAATTTAAAGATGGTCCAGGGGGATTATCGCCATGAAATGAATCTTTTGGAGTTCAAGTAAGTGAATGGAAGATTTTTAATTCTGTTAAATGCATTTCAAAAAGTTTTGCCTAATGAAAGCATTGGCATTAAATAAAAACCTGTCTCAGGAATATGAATCTGGCCAAGAAATAAAGCAACGAACTGATGTTCAGCATATTCTACAGTAATTTATGCAATATTCATAATAAAATATATTAATTTTGTCATTCTCTGTCTGCATATCTCAAATGAATTGATTACTCATTCAGATCTTTCTTATAGAGAAATTTTAACTTATCAATTATATTTTAAAATGCCACAATGTAAAGCACTATTGAATATACGTTGATTCCACAAGATTATAAATAACACTTAAAACACCTTTGATTACAAAAGCTTTTCTTAAAAACTTTTCCTAAGATTTTTTCTAAGATCCTCTACTTGCTCCTTTACATTATCCATTTTTAAGACTAGTCTCTATCCCATCTTAAATTCAGTTTTCCCCTATGCAGTGGAGAAAGCCATGAAGGAGACAAGACTTCAAACATTCAAATTACCGCTTCCTTATCCTCAAATCTTCCTTTCTTGTTTAAATGACCACTATTTCCCGGGTTCCTGGTGCAGGCAAAAGAACATTCTAGTCACTTGGATGATACCACCTTACTTCTTCTACCCCTGTTCTTTTTCTTCTCTGTCCCTCATTGCTTGGGTTTAATGCCTCAGTCAAATCTAGTATTCTGATAATATTTTGCTTTCTTCATTTCTCCCCATTTCTACCATATTTCATGAAATCTAAGTACACTGACTATAAGATGTATGTAACATTATATTTTTGTACCTATAAGACATGAAGCTAACAATTAAACCATAGCACATGATTATTTTAAGACGCCTCCCAATTTCAGAGATGTTAAATTGGGAAATACGTGATGAAAAACAGTAGTCATTAAAACTCCAAGAAATATATTGAGTAAACAGAAAATACTCACTTTATTCTTACTCTAAAAAAGCACATCTAGGTTCTTAAATTCTAGCACAATGAGAATGCTCAATAAATATCTGTGTGGTTCTTCATCTAATCCTTTTAGCTTTGAATTAAGATTACAAAAAATGTTCAAAGGAGAAGGTAAATTGTTTCAAAAGGACAGCTTAAGAATTGATTTTATTGGGACAGAAATTGGACTTATAATCTGAAATGGAAGACTAACTTAAAGAGATGAAGTATATTAATAAATAGAAAAGAGAGGTAAAGGAAATGTTTAAGATCTAGTGCTAACTGCTTTATTGATGATGCTGTGTACGTTTTCCATCTTCAATCTTGTAGGAAATTGACTTATAGTCAATCTAAATAGTTAAATCTGAATCTGGGCACTTTCGTTATAGTATAAACTTGAATCTTTTTTTTTTTTTACTTGAAATAATGAACTCTTAAAATTTCTTTAGTATTATAATAGGTAATTATAGTAAGTAAACCAGATTTTTCCCCAGGCAATTATTTATGAGTTCTAATAAGTCATTGAATTACACAATTGACTCTTTTTAAAACTTTCTTCGTTTTTTAAATTAAAAAGTAATATGCATTAATTGTAACAAACAAAATAAAAGATAGATGAAAAAAAAAAAGGTCAGCATCCCAGCTTCCTATTGTAACCAATGTTAACTCCAGGGACTTATCCTTCAACATTTTCCTCCTTGTTAATATAAACATGTAAAAGAAAGAGAAACTTGTGTGTGTATACATATATCTACACGTTTATATATACATTTATATGTAACATGTATATTATATATATACACATATAATTATATATATTTCACACATTATATGCATAAATTTTTAAAGCAAATCCTATATACGTTACTCAATCATTTGTTTTTCAACTGCATCTTGGATATCTCTCTAGATCAGTGAATATTATTCTAACATTATTTTTTATAGCTGCATAATATTTTAATTTACAGACATGCAATAATTAATTCAACCATTTATCTTATCGAGAAATAGTTTCCTTCCAGTTTACACAAACAAAAAATTGTCTTGTGCATGTCCTTAGATAACCTTAGATTTAGGTTCTTTTATTTCTAAAGGCAAGATTCCTAGTTCTAAAGTTTATGTATTTATTAATTTTATATATTTCTAAAAATGTAACAATTTACACTCCCACTAGCAGTGTGTAAGAGCTTTCTCAACATTCTTACCAGCACTGAATGTTTTCTTTTTAATATTTGCCAATTAAAGGAATAAAAATAGCATCTCTTTTCATTTGCATTCCCTTCACCATTTGAATTTTTATCATTTGTAAAATTTTGTAATGTGATTGTCATCATTTTTTATCAATGTATAGGATTCCTTCACATCAGGGATATTAACCCTTTTACTGAGATATGTATTGCAAATGTATTTTCCTCAAAGAGAAAGGCTGGTAGAGCTTCTTTTTTTTTCCTTCAACAGAGCACTTACTAAATCAAAGTAGATGGTGTGTAGAATTTGCTTTGCCTTTTTCTTTAAACAATTGTCTCTGCTCAAAGAGATTAAAAGCTTTTTAATGACTTTAAAGGGTAAGTTTAACTGAGCAATTTTCCCATTTAGAAACTTTAACAAATGTAATGGTCAACTAAACATATTTTATTGAACTTAAAAGCCACAATATTGTCTGAGGGTTTGTTAGTGAATTCCTGGGACTTTGATGCTGCTCACTAGACCTGACAAATATGACACACAGGCTCTGTAATTTGAACCCCTGCATTGAGCCTTCTTTTTCCAAAAGAATCTTAGTCAGATATTTAGCTAAATAATGACCTAAGCCAACAACTTAGTGCTTATAGAGCAAGTTTTGGCCATCATAAAACACAGCTGCCTTTTAGTAAGAGTTTGGCAGAGGCAGCACCTACCTGTCTCTCCCCTAGATAGCTCTTGCTGCTGATGCTGTCTAGTTCATAGCAATTCATAATAAAAGGTATTTGGTCAATGAAGCAAATACATAGGCTCGAATCTTACAGCAAAACTTTGACAGTGCTACTATAGTAGAAAGTTACAAACTATCCAAGGCAAGGACATGTCTCATCCGTCTTTGTATCTTCAGCTCTCCTTATTTAGACACAAATAGAAGCCAATGAATGAATGAATGAGTGAATGAATGTTTTGAGCACCTATAATATGTAAGCCCTATTTTGGAATATTCAAAGACAATTATAGCTACATACGATTGTGGAGAAAAATGCATAAATAAGTGAGAAGCTAAACACAGGTAAAATAAAAGACAATGTTAAATGAGATATCAGAAGGCAGAAATAGTAATTGTCATTTGTAAATGCCTACCAATCACTAAGCGCTCATGATATGTTCAAGAGCACCCAACTCCATTGGGTGGGTCTTCTCTCCATTTTTAAAGAAGAGTAAATTTATAATCATGGAGATTAAGTACTTTGCCTAAAGTCAAACAGCTAGAGAGTGTCTGACTCCAATCTCAGATTATTTTTGTTAATCCATGATGCCTTTATCTCATGATTCAACTTGTTACTAATGTGCTAAGAAATTTAGGGAAATGAAAGATCACACCTGCTTTAAACTATGAAGATACGAGGCTATGAAGATGTTGGGATTTAAATTCACGTACAATTTGGAATGACCAAGAAACAAGTCTTCTTATCAGAGGGGAGTTGGAATTGCTTAATAATTAATGTCACTAACTAGAAATCACAGAGCATTAAGAAGAAATTAGTTTAAGGGGTATAGGTATAAACTTAGCAGAAAAAAATATTTCTTGAAATTTTTTGCTTCTGGTATGAAACAAAATCTTATAGACTCATTCTCCAAAGAAATAGTAAATTGTCTAAAGCACTATTGAAATATGATCAGAAAAAAAATGAAAATATCTTCTGTTTATCAGCCCATCAAAGTGCACTAAATCTTCTTATAGTCACATTTGGTTAAAGCCACTATCTAAATTCTGAGAGCCTGTTAATAGTAACAGTTTCCAAGAATTCAAAATTTTCATGTCTTCTAGAAAAGTTCATTCAACAGGTTGTTGAATGCAAGACAGGGGATTTGAGACATAAGTGAACTGACAAAATTAGCCCAGGATGGAGCTATGTCCTCATTTATGTCCATCAGCCATAACCAGGGTGTTCACGAGGATGTTTGCTCCAAGCAGTGTCCTCCGTCCTCACCACAGTCTCCATACAGCTCTCGGCCCTGGGCTCGGCTGTGTTTATACATCTCTCACATTTTCTTTTTCTCTTTTGTAACTTCCTCCTTTATAATTGCCCTTGGAGTGTATTTTAACCTGACTCTACCAATATAAATATTTTTTTAAAAATCCATCCAATACTTTACATTATCCTAAGTGAGTTCCCTAGCTAGGATTTTAAAGTCTGACTTTTGTGTTTTGAGAAAAAGAAAAAGAAAGCTATCTACCTACCTACCTACCTGTCTGCCTACCTATCTATTCATCTATCTATCCATCCATCTACCAACATACCTATATTTATCGACATCTGATAGAAATACTTCCGTAACCACTGGAATAGAGAATTTAGGAATTAAATATGAATATCATCTAAGAGAAATTTATCCTGTTGAGATTTTAACTGTAAGTTCTATGATTAAGAGAAGTAATTTTACATGGTAAATCATGTCCATTATGTTAGGGAAAAGTCTAAGGAAAGAAAAAGATGTATATAAACTTTCATTTTACTTTATCCTTTTTATCTTTCCAGAATGTTTTTAAATAATGCTTTCATATTTTAATAAACTACCAACAGACAGAGTCCGACTTCTGATTGTTACTAGGCAAGTGAGTCTCCAATTACAGGCAAAACCTTGTAATAAAAGGATAGTAGTTCATTCTTTATGGCTTTACCTTGTAATAAAAGGATAGTAGTTCATTCTTTATGGCTTTACCCAAATTTCAGAATTCCAATTTCTGATATGCCCTTCCAGAGAAATGACTTGAGCACATTGGCTTTCAGAGGGATTTTAATACTGTATCAGTGATTAGAGTAAATGCTTTCACGTATTTACACAGTAAAGGTGAGCAGTGAAGGCTGGATTCTCAATTGTAAAGCTACCTCATGTTTATCTGAGTATTTACCATCCCCCTTAACCATCACTGTTAATACTTCCACCAGAGACAGGAAAGTGAAGATAAAATCAAAGATTAGGTCTCTAAAAAGGTTGACAAGTCTGTGATTTATTTGTGAACAGCCCTAATAAAAAAAAATGAGAAAAAAAGAGCTCATTTATTCATTTATTTAGCAACTACTTATCGAGCACTTTCTACATCCAGGCATTGTTCACAGCCATTAACAAAGTAAAATCCTTGTTTTTATGGAGCTTAGTTCTAGTGGAGGAAACAGCACACAAATTAGTATATATCACATGGCAATGAGCATTTTGGAGAAAAGTAAAGGAATAGGGAGTGTCAGTAAGTAAAATTGATCTCTTTTTTACTGTTGTCGAAAAAAAAAAAGCTTCTGTGATAAGGTGGTACTCAACCATAAATCTGAATGAAGTTAGAACAGGAATCATTGCATATTCTAAGGAGAAGAGTTCCAGACAAACAGTTGGCTAAAATGCTGTCCACCTTTCAGTTGGGGGCTTATTTGCCTGAGATCCAACAGCTGTTAGCTAGCAGCACAGATGTTTGGGAATCATAATTACACTAAAGAAGAAAAGTAATCAACTTCATTTCCTTCAGCACTGAAGTACCTGAATCATGGTATGCTTTCCATGTAAAAAATATCCCTCTCTGCATCAAAAAAAAAAAAAAAAAAAGGAATAATTCAGAGAGATGAAGATCAGAATTTATCTATGACACATTAACATAACTATAGGAAAATTAACTTTTCCCATTCCTTGATTTCGTCAACTAAATTCTAGTTTCTCGACCTTGGCACTATTGGCATTTTGGCTGGATAATCCTGTTGTGGGGCTGTCCTGTGCACTGTAGGATGTTTAGCAGCTTCCCTGGCCTTTACCCACTACATGTCAGTAGCGCTTCCCAATTATGACAACCAAAAAATGTCTCCATACATTGCTAGAGGCCCTGTGGTCTAAATAAAAATGGAAATGGCCTCATATAACTTGTCTTTTCCAGTTATTAGCCCAAAATCTTTTTTAGTTGAGCTAGAGAAGTATATACATACAGTATATGTCCAACATGTTTTAAGCAATTTCCAATGGTAAACATCACAAACTAAATTATCTGCATATTTTTCCTGAAAACATTAAAGCAATTGTTATTTCAAGCCAGAAAGTAATCTATTTCCAATATCAACATCATTGTTCCAGCCAATGTAATATCTTGCCTATTCAAAGAAGGAATTAGAAATTGACATCTTACCATGAGCAAGTCATATGCAGAAGACATACAGAAACCATTCGCCTGTCCCCATCCCTCATCCCATCTCTTCTCAGTTCCATATTTCTTAGTCATTCCAGATGTTGATTCCCCTTTCTGCTCAAACCCTCAGCCACTCTACAATGACTTTTCAAATTGATAATATAAGTAACTTAATAACCTTTCAAATCTCTGTAATAACATTCACTTCCATGTTTAAAAATCCTTCATTCTCTGTTATTTAATATGCCTCTGGTGCATCATCTTGATGCCAGCAGTCCCTTCCTGTAACCTGTGCCTATTATTTCTGTTTTTCCCCCATATGAGTAACTTAGCACCTCTTTAAGGCCTTCCCCCACCTCCAAAGAAGCCACTCACAGAAAACCATTGGTGGCAATGGAGACTTTACTGAAGATTCCACCTGAGACAGAAAAGACAACCAACGACACCCTGCTTCCCCAAAGCCCTTTGGGGCTCTCTTCCTTCTCCCTTCCCACCTCTAACTTTTCTCTCAATTAGACAGTGCAGATTCTCTCTGGCCCAGCTCCTCTCCCACACCCGTAGTGGCCCTTGTAGATCAGAGATTCCGCAAACTACCACCCTGACCCAATCAGCCCACAGCTAAAAATGTTTTTCACACTAATAATATTTAAATAAAAATTTAAATATATTTCATGACTGTGAATAGCTGAAATTTAAATTTCAGTGTATATAGTTAGATTAGATCACAACCATCCTCATTTGTTTATGACTTATTTATTCTTTGCTAATTTGTATCATCTGTGGCTGCTTTCCCACTGCAAGGACAGCATTGAGCGGTTGCAGCAGAGACCGTATGACCTGCTAAGCCCAAAATATTTACTGTAACCCTTTACAGAAAAACGTTGCCAACCCCTACATAGAGTAATACTCCTCACCCCAAGTGTCTTATTGAAGTATTTCTTCCACACACTGGCAATGCACCCAGGGCCCTGAGAGGAAATCTGCATGGGTGACACATGTGTCTCTGTGTGGCTGTCTCTGTCACGGTGTGTATACTTCCTTTAGGATGTGAGAAGGGGTGCTATCAGCAGCAAAGCTGAACACAAGCTCAGGACAGGAACCCAGAATGTGCTCCCTCACCTTCACATCACCCCTAAGTACTTGCTAGACACACTGAGCCTCATCATCGGAAAAAAACTGCAGGCTTTTTCAATACTAAAATTTTGGTTTTATGTTTAAAGTTACTTATTAAAACAGAACAAACTATTTTTTCCCTTAGATTTAATTCACTCTCAAATAATCTGTATGAAGAAGTTGAGAATAATCAAAAATGGACAAGAAACCAGTTCATCAAATTCGAAAAAGAGCAGCTCAGCCATATAAACCTGTCTCTGAAGCTCCTTCAGGAGAAACTGGTAAGGAGTTCTGTTCCTCATGGAGCAGAGTGCTAAGTGGTCACTGTCTGGAGCTGAGCCATGAGTAAGGTCTCGAAAATCACACTTCAATATTCACAGCAACCTTCACTGTGTCAGTAACTTACTTTGTTTTGGCACCAGAAGAGGAAACCAGAGGCCCATCTTCTGGTCCTGTTTGCTGCTCCCCAACCCTGTGAACCCACATTTCCCAGAATGTGCTCTACCCATACCAGAATAACCGAAAGACAGCTTTTAAAAATACAGATTCCTTGTCTCAACCCACAGCTGAGGCATCAGACCTTCCAGGGGCTGGGAATCTGCGCTTCTAGACAAGCTCCCTGAGTGATGCTTAGATACAATAAAGCCTGAAAATTTTTGCCTTAGACAAGGCATTTTACCTCTCTGAGATTCGTTAGCAGAGCAAAAGTTTTCAAAACTCCCTTTCCAGATTAGACCTAGTAGAGAAAAGCCCCAGCTTTGGGGTGAGACTACAGTCAATGGCAGCCAGCACAGCGGCCACACTGCTGAGCCCCGACAGGAGAGCAGATCTGGGCCATCGGTGTCCTCAGTGACTACCAATCTTGTAGGTGACACATGTATTTCTAGAACTTCGGTAGTGGGGATTTAGGCAACCCAGTAAATAATGCTGTCTCCCCACCTGGGTCTGTAAACAACTGATAGAGACATGATCCAAAAGAGGGAGACAAACATTACAGCTTTAGCACTGATAAGGCTTCTGAATTATGTGCAGTCAGATCTGCAGCCCAGTGGGCCTGCTGGGTCTCCTACCTGGTTTAGGCAGACTCCTCCACCAGTCCTAGGCGGCACTAGATGACCACAAGGTCACCTGCAGGCAGAAGCACTCCACCACAAGGAAAACAGAGACTGAAATCCCCCATTCCTGAGGCAGGCTGAGCTAAAGAGAGGAGAACTAAACACGCCAACCCCACCCAGTCCTCTTGCTCTCACATTCCCTGTAGCAGAAAGAGAAGGAGCAGAGAAGCTAATTAGCTTCAGGCTGCTAAACATTAGAATCACCTGGAGTGCTTTTAGCCTAGCTCAGTTCCTGAGCTCCATCACAGACCAATTCAATCAGAATTTTGGGGGTTGTGTATGGTCCAGGTGATTCTAATAGACAACACCAGGAGGTGAATCACTATTCTAGCTGAAGTCTGTCCACATGGAGATATGAAGCTCAGGGAATAAGGATATCTAACACTTAGGAGCCTGTCCAAGGAGCTTGGGTCAAACAGAATCCAAAGCACCTTCCTTGGCTACCCTTCTTTAAACACTAGGCTAAAATTCCAAATCCTCAAAGCATTTCAGCAAGACCACAGCCCTTTCTTCTCTCCCACAATATAGAGAATTTCAGAAACTACAAATGAGTAAGGCCAAGCAAAGGGATGAACTCTTACACTTGTGAACGCAGTTTTAGATAAAAGGGAGCTTGGTTTGAATTTTCATGTGTAACATGGAAGTGAATTTTTAAAAAACATCCTATAAGCTAAAATACAAATCCACATAGATTTTTTTTGTCTGCAGAGTTTCATCGTGTGCTATCTTTTATAGGAAAAGTCTGAACATAAAATGGAAGAAAAATTACTGCAGCTTTCAAGCAAATTAGAGAATTTCATTAATACACAGAAACAGACAATAGAACTAAGCAAAGTAAAGCATATAGAAAATAAACTGTCCAAAAAGATGAACCAACTGGAAAAGCAAATCTGGGATGAATTAGAGAAAATGCAGAATGAATATCAATCAGGTGAGCAGATACCTTTGATTAAGTAAAGAACATCCATCCATGCCTATCCGGTCCCTCAGGGTTTTCTACTTTGAGTTAATGGCCAGGAATCGATTTTGTCATTAGTGACATCCTTTTGTACTTAATCCAACTTTTCTAAATATCCCACAGAACATCAGCATACTGGAAGGTATGGAAATACATTTACTTTCTTCAATCACACTTGGCAGCGTCACAAGCTTGCCATTGTTAAGATTTTTTTTTTTTTTTTACTCTCTAAGGTCATAGTCAGGAATTTTAGACTTGAAAAGTCCTTGGAGATAGTCAAGACCTGACTTGTGGGTATGTCATGAAATTAGGAGCCTAAATGAAATGCCCCTCAGAGAATCTGCAAGTAATGGGTCTGGACAAGTGTCAGGCCGCAGACCTGACCTCTAGAAGTAAGAATGAGAGATGAGTTCACAGAGTCCAGTAAAATGACTGCCTTCCTTCTTAAGGGGGCTAACTGCAGCAGTGTTAAGCTGAGCGAACATCAAAGCAGATTCATTTGAAAGGCTCACCTAATTTGTCAAAGAGATGGGCAGAGGACTAGGTATTGTGGAGCAGCCATATGCCTCAGAGTCACAATTCTCAGATAATTACCAGGAATCAGAAGGTTCCTTTATTAGGGAAAGCCCTAACTCATACTCTGTCCTCCTGATGTCAGAAAATTGCATGTAAATTCTACTAAATCTTGGTTCTGTATAAAGATGCCTTGAAGGTGTTTTGGAAAGACATCATGGTCTCATTCTGCTAGATGTCGCTAGCACATAAGTAATATTCGCTGCCTGGAAATCTGACCCTCACCACCTCCACCCCGAACTCTCACTGCCAAATCAAAATGACAAATTATCTGCTAGGAATCATGTCCCAAACTTACTGGCCTTTCTTTTAGGGCCCTGCTTTCTACTTACTACCTGAAGTTTAATTTTATTCATTTCCAGCAGTACAACCATGGGATGAGCTGAAGATAATTTTACAACATATATGTCTCTGAATTTTACTAAGTGGGAGTTTAGTAAACCAGACTCCAAATTAACGATTTGCTCCTTCACACCTTTATTAAAAATGTGACAGGCTCTGGTGACTAAGAAATGGGCTGTACCCTAAGAAGCCTCAGATCTGGCAGGTCTGTGGTCACGAATGACTAGACTTGCATAAAGAGACACAAAGTGCTGGAGGGCAGGTGAGGGGTAGCCGCTGGTGGTCACTCTTTAGGTCCCTCAAACAGGTTAATTTTAGAGAAAGTTTAAAGTCTCATCTGTGGTCCTTACTTTCAGTTTGGTAACAAGAATAAAAAGAGATCTATTGTCAAAGTATACAGAAAGAAGAAAATAGTTTAAATTTCTCTCGAAATATAGAATCATTTCATTATGCACTATATTTGGGAGAAGAGGAAGGAAAGGAATTGAATTAAACAATGAAGCCAGATACAAGTTGAAACACTATTGCTAATGAATCCTCATAACATACGAGAAATGAATTATATATTTTTAGACTGGTCTTAGTAAAATTTAATGTGCTTTGAATTAAAAGACGATCAATTATGGCAGGTTTGCTGATTAACAAGTTTTGCAAAATTAGAAGTTCCAATGCACTGTTGAATTTGAGTTTACCTATTCTCATATCCTCTTCCAGGATTTAAATCGATTCATGACTCTCTCAGCTCTCTCCAACAAATACAGAAAACGAAGATGGATCTTGAGAAATATAAAGTACAGAAAGACCTAAAGAAATTACAGCGTAAGATAGTGGAACTCCAGGAAGTATAAAACTTTCCTGTCATCCTCTTTTTCACCAGTCAATGAAGGGTTTGTTGGTAAAAGTTGGGAAGAAATTTAATATCTCTGGGATATTTAATACTTCAAATGTCTCTGTATTTCTTACCACCTTTTTAAGGAGATGAATGTACCAGAAACACAAATAAAGCAATGAAGCTTTGTGAGGTTTTCATTAATTTATTAATGAAAAAATTAGGTAATTTTTATATATTAATATTTTTATTTACCTACAAATAAAAAAAGCAATCTACATAATGTAACCAAATGAGTACAGCAGGTTTTGTGTAATATATTAAAGAATAGCAGGACCTGTGGCAAATTGGAGACAACTTACCCTGTCTGAAGATAGCCACTATGCAGTTCCAGTTCATTATTATTATGTATTATACATACATATATATATATGTATTATACATACATATATATATCATTTTTTCGGAATGATGGATGATACATATATGTATCATCCAAAACTTCAGTTTTCAAGAGAAACCAGAAATCTGGGTTTTATAGGAAACCTCTCTGTTCATAAGCATCAACAACTACAGCTGGCCCTCTGTGTCCATGAGTTCTGCATCAGCAGATTCAACCAACTGTGGATAGAAAACATTGTCCCCCACCCCACCCCCCAAAAAAAATCCCACAATATTCCAAAAATCAAAACTTGAATTCGCCATACAGCAAGCACTATGCTGAATCCATGAAAATAATGTGCAGGCACGCTCTCCTGAAAGCTATATGCAAATACTATGCCATTTTATAGAATGGACTCGTGCATCCATGGATTTGGGCATCTGTGGGAATGGGCAGGGGTGATGTGGGTCCTGGAACCATTCCTCCCCACCCTTGCCAAGGATACCAAGGGATGACTATAGTTCATAATACTTCTTAACCAATGAGGGAATGTCTTCTGGGGAGTTACAGTCAATGGGCTGTTGATTTGCAACTTCTGACCCAGAGGTCTTTATTTTCTAACAATTCCAGTATTTATAGCCAGTCTAACTTGTGCATATTTAAAATACTGATTTATTGTACTCAATATCAGAATTATGAGCAACTAAGAGCTAATTCATACAAAACAAGAGGAAACAAATTCCAAGAAAAACATTCAACATGATTTAATCTAGGCGGTAAATTCAAAAGCACTTCAGAAACACTGATTAGTGTTTCTATAAAATTAAAATATTTCTAGCATTTCTAGATATAAGTGTTAAATGTAGAGCCTGATATTAGGCAGTAAAATCAAGAAAAATAAACTTTTCATGTTGCGCACCATCCACTAAAACAATGTCTAATTTCTAATCATAGAGCTTCTTGTAAACTTGGCAAAGGGACCTCTGCTTGGTTTAGGGAACAATAATGAAAACTTTTCCCCCAATAAACTTATCTCTCAATATTAGAAAGATAGGCCAATGCCTATCTTTCTAATTTTTTAGCTGTAAAAACATCTCTATTTATTTTTATTAATTTACACATAGCATCACTGCCTATATTTCAAGAAATTTTCATAGCTGAATTTAAGAGTTTAGACTGTAATAGTAAGTGAGTGTCCTTTGCAATCAAGTGTCATAATAGGACAAAGGGATAATATCCCAAGGAACTCCAAATCTTACAAGTAAATAAGGAAATAATAATAAATAAATATTTTTAAACCTAAAAGTAACAAACGAACAGGACAAATAAACGGAGACTCATGGACATAGATAATAGATTAGTGGTTACCAGAGGGTAGCGGGGTAGGTAGGGTAAAAGGGTCAAATATGGGGTGACAGAAAGAAATCTAACTATGAGAGGTGAACACACAATGTAAGTGTATATATGCCTTACTGTTAAAGTGTACAGCTGAAACTTACCGGATTTCATTAATCAATATCACCATAAAAAAAATAAATTAAAAAATTTAAAAAATAAACTCTAAAAATAAATAAATAAATAAAATAAAAATTTTTAATGGGAAAAGAATGTGAACAGGCTAGCCACAGAAAAGTACAAAAATAAATGAAGATATAAAAAGACATTTAACCTACCAAAGAAATAAAAATAAAAGGAATCCTTAGCTACCATTTTCAGATTGACAAACATTGAAGTGATGGATAATACTGGTTTGCCAAGGGTGTAAAGAAATGTCCACACCCATACATTACTGGTGAGTCTATTAAGTGGGGCTATGACTTAGAGGGCAATTTATAAACGTCTATTAACATTTTTATATGTATATATCCTTTGACCCTGCAATTCCAAATTTCTACTAGAAATTTATATTATGGGGGGAAAAGCTTGTAAAGCGTGCAAAGATATATATAAGATGCTTATTACAGCCCCATTAGTTATAGGAAAAAATAAAAACCTGAAAACAACCCAAATATAAGGAATAATGATTAAGTTAAAGATATTGCCAAACAAAAATGCTATCTAGCCTTTAAAAAGAATACAGAAAGATATCTAAGACACATTGTTAGATGAAAAAAGCAAGTTTTGAAGCAATACGGATATGATTCCACTTGTGTCAAAAAAAACCACATTTTATAACAAGTTAAACACAATATACAATCTACAACATACAAAATAGGTAATAATTTATAACAAACTTAGCAGTGTTAGATTATGAAGAATTTTTTCTATATTAACCATTTATTAATGCTTTTACATTATTACAACACAATATTTTTGTTTCTCCTAAAAACATATTTTTAAAAACTACCACAATAAATATACTGTTATGTTGAAAGAGTAATTCTTTGTAATCAACCAAATACATAATTGAAGGAAGGTTTAAATTAGGAATTCACACAGACCAAGGGCCAAGGCATCTCACTCAGGCCTATTTTTTACTCTACAGACACAGCTACAAAAGTAGCAAGGACATATAACAAGCGTGGAGGGGTGGGGAATGCTGATACATTTTTTCCTTATAAGCAAAAATGCCCCAAACTAAAATGTAATTAAAATAATAGTGCAGGATCAAGGCAAAAGCTTTCCCAGAATGGGTCTCTCATTGGTGTTGACAGGGTAGCACCATGGAGACCTGAATGTAATGCAAGCGGGTAGAGGACCAAAAGATCCTCTGTCAGGGTTCTCTTGCTTGGCATCCCAAGCTGGGGTGTTCACAGGTTTACACAGACTCTAGATGGCCTGAGAACTATGCCTAGTGAGATGGTGGATCTAGGTTTTGTATGGCCTAAAGCTTATGGAGTTTTGATTTGTTGACATCCTATCCTGATGTGTATATATCCTACAGGAATATTCTTGGAAGCCATTGCTACCTCAGGACAGCAGCAACTTAACTCCATACAGAAGTGACTGTGCACAACGTCCCTCTAACCCAAATGCATCCCCAACTCAACTTCTCTTTAGCTAGATCTAAAGAGAAAAGCCACCCCAGGGGCACCTGATATCAAGGGAAGTGAGAGCGAGACAGTGGTTTTAATCAATGACCTTATTGTAATCGAAATGTCTTACTTCCATAAATTTTACAACCACCTTATAAACACATTGCTAGGACTCACATGTGAGGACCCTGAAGTTCAAGGGCCATTGTTTCATAGTAAATTCATCTCTGCTCAGATACCAGGAGAGCACTGGACCTCCCTCTCTTTGTATTTATTTTGCCATGGATCCAAAAAGATGACAAGGATGAACAATCTCTCTAGAGATTCATAGCACTTTATACCAAACAACAATACTTAATCCGTTGGGAAATATCAGACTTCTTTCTCCACAAATGCAAGAGGATGTTTGAGCATGATAGAATCTGCAATCCGATCCACCCTGCAGACTTGAGGCAAATGTTAAAATATCTAAGATAGTCCTCTTTAGGCACAAACACCATCTAAGCAAGCTTTGATAGTTCAAGGGTCCTGCCACCTCCCAGCATTTTCTGCCATTTCTTTCCTCTTATCAAAACCTGCTCTTTTGGAGAAAATCATGTGAAATTATTTACACTGAAGACCAAATGATAATGTTCAAAGTATTTTTGCTTCCTCACTGAATATAAAGGACAAATCCCTCACCTTATGCTACACAGGTAACTGCCTTCTCAGCACCACTGAGAAGTAGATACACTCTCCACCTGAGAGCCAGGACAGCAATACGGCCCAAAGTCAAAGCGATTGCATCTCCAGTTGCTCTGGACACCAACAACTCTCTCCTCTTCTACAGAAACTTACCAAACATCTGCTCACATCTATTGGTGTCACCATAATAGCAGCAAGGAGCATCCAAAAACACTAAGAAGGAAAAACTTGATCTACAAAATATATATACACACATATGTTTTTACCAACTTTTGTGAGATACTACTTTTTATACCTTTGCAAGCTCTATTCATTCATGTGCTAGGCACTGGGAATACAATACTGAACAAAGTAAACGTGGACCCTGCCCTTCAGGAACTTATAGCCTACTGGAAAAGACCAACAATTAAACTTGCAAACATGTGTGGAAATAAAGGGTGTGATGAGAGCACCCGAGAGAGGCATTTAGCAAAAATACGGGGGATCAGGCAGAGGGGTCTTCCAGAAGAAGGGCTATCTAAATAGACACCTCTAAAGTAGAAGTAGACATTAGCCAAGGGCAAGGGGGGCTAGATTGGCAGAGGTGGGGCTCAATCGGATGAAGCAGCCTGAGCAAAGGCCTGGAAGCCCAAAGAATGGAACACATGCAGGAATTGCAAAATGATCAATATGGTCAGAACCTAAAAGATGTGTGGTGGAGGTAGAGAAGGAAGATTGGGGGAGGTAAATAGTGCGAGAGAAGGCTGGAGAAGTTAGGGGGAGTGGGTATCTGATCACAAAGGGCCTTATAACTCATGCTGAAGAGCTTGGGCTTCATCTTCAGGTGCCCAGACTAGCCTTTAAAGGATTTTAAATAGAAAGTGACATCAGATTTGCATTTTAGAGAGATCTCTCTGATTGTAATGTGGGCAATAGAATACAGACACAGTGAGAGAAGCAAATTTGGCTGGGAAAGGAGGGAGATGATGCAAGAGAAAG